CTATTTTACTAATCAGACCAGATACAAATCCCATGTTCATCGCTCAACAACACGTCGAAAAATCGTTCTTCACTTTGCGGTAGATGGCGTCTTACCTTCTTTTTCCTAGTTTCTCCAAGCTCGGTTGATAAAATCTACATAGCTTGTAAGAGAAAAGAAAAGGAAAAAAAAAGAAAGAAAAGAAAAAGAAAAAGAAAAATGTAACGTTTCCGCTAGTGCATCGGGCATCGCATTACAACTCGAATATAACACGAACTATATAGACGATGCCTCGAGGAAACCGTTACACTTATCAAACTGCACATAAGCGACAAGTGCACCATAAGCGAATCGCTACAGCGATAAGTATTGTAATCTCGAGACCTTGGCGAGCGATCAAACAGCTTTCGATTTCCATCTACGATTAAAAATCCAACGACTTTTTTTTTTTTTTAATTCCTCCCAATGAAATTATAAACGTTACTTTCATATTCCTAACGAACCGCAACTATTCGACGTCCTCGTTAAAAAAGTTAACGAATCGGTCAAATCGATACTTTTTCGATCAAAAGTAGTCCTTCGATGGAACGAGAGAAAATTCGTATTCACGCTGGAAAACGGGGAGATCTCCAAGGAGGATCGCAATCATCGACTCTCTTTCCAATCAGATGAATAACGAGTAAATAGCGTCGCGGCAGGGGATTTGTGGTGCATTCGAAAATGCCAGCGGCTATAACTATCTACTAATAGATCAGGATTACGAGACTCGCTGCTACCTTCGTGTACCTGATTCGCCTTTACGTTGGCCAACTCTATCATCGTGGTGGCCATGGTCGTTAGATCACCATCGTTTTCCTCCACGCGAAATCGATGGGACGACACGAGCCTTCCTCCACGAGCGGCTAGTAACATGACCGCCCGACATTAGTTTACGTCCAGTTTATTTTCCACCCCACCAACGGGATGCTTGCTTTCGTTCGATAACTCGCGAAAAAAAAAAAAAAAGAAAGAAGAGGCGGTGCCCCTGAAAAAAATCCTTCACGCCAGCACGAAAGCCGGTAAATGGTCAACGACCCCGCGCCTTCCATCGATTTTTCATTCGAACTTGGACTGATTTCGCGTGGGAGGTAACGATTTTACCACGACGGGGGGGACAAGGGGGGGGAAAAAAAAAGCGTTGTCGAACCTCTCTCGCTCGGGTTGGGGAGGAGGAGAACGTGGCGCGATCGTGCACCACTGATTAACAACGCGAACACGAGCACCTTATCAAGGAGACAAATTGCACGGAGCGCAGGTGTGCCTTGGGCATACGTATATGCATCGTGTTGCCCGCGATCCGACGAGGAAAAAAAAATGCAAATTGCGATAAGAGCCGATCACCGAGTGACCGATTGCGTTAGCCTATTTCTCCTCGACGTATCCCTTAAATCCTTCCCCCCTCCTTCCGTCCAGGTTGTCGTGGATTATCAGTTATGCTCGTGCGCGTGCACACTCGCAAACGGTACGCGAAAACTTGGACGTCGGGTATCCGTGTTCAGATACTCCGGTTAACGACATCGTTAAATTTATCGCAACATTTGACTTCATTAAAGCCGGCAAATAAATTATCCGCGGCTCCTCGATTCTCCCTCCTCCTCCTCCTCCTCCCCCGCCCCCTCCTCCGCAATATTTTATATTTTTCGCGGTGGCGCGTGTACGAGGGCGAGTGGAATGAAAATTACACGGGGACGTGAAGTGGGCGGTCCTGTAAACGAGCAAGAAACGGGTTCACCGCGTAGTAGACCAAATAAACGAGAGAGTTAATAAAGAGCGGCGTGGTGAAACGCGAAAAACCGGCGGCCTTCGAGCCGCCCTGCAAATCGACTCGACGCCTCATCCGTTCCCGCGCCTTTTCAATCTCTTCGACCTTCCTCTTCCAACGCCCTTCCCTCCCTCCCACGCACCTCGAAGTCCCCTCAACGCTTCCCTCCCCGCTTCTCGAAAAAACGGGAGTGAAATAGGATATAAAATTTCGCGACTCATCTCCTCTCCTCCTTTCCTCCTCCTCCTTTCCTCGAGAAAAAAACCTGCGTAATCTCGGACGAAAAGAAGTAATTATTGGCGCGCCGTGGAAAACAGGAAAATCGTGTGGGTGGAAGGAAAACAGAAGGAGAGCGTGTAATAAAGGAGAGCGCGCGAGGCGAGAGCCGCAGGGGGAAGAGAACGAGAAGCAAAATGCGGCGATGCAGGAGCGCGGAGCAGGAGAAGTGCCAAGGTCTCCTTCCCCGTCCACTTTCTAACGACAATCACTTTTATGTAACGGCCATTATTCGTCCATTTTTATTACAACAAACGTAACATACAAATCTGCCGAGTAAGTTATCTCTCTCTCTCTCTCTCTCTACATGTGTATATATATATATATATATAATAAAATAACAATATATATGTGTATACATATATATGTGTACACATATATATCGTTATTAGCGATATTATTTAGGACACGAATACTTCACGATAGGATTCACCATGGTATTGCAGGGATCGATGATCTGTTTCTGGGGGGAGGGTTCTGTTACATACGCAGCCCCAGTAGAGGAGGGATGGGGTTGGGGGGACACACGTACAGCCTATTCGGATTTATCCGACCAGGGACTAGAGGACTCTTTGGCGATCGACCGGTTTTACAGGCTGCGTGTTTTCGCGGAACAACGTCCGGCCCCGGGAGATTTTTCCATTTTTTCCGGCAACAACCCCTTGCACCGCTCTGGATGACTTCTCACGTTCACCCTATCCGGATTGCTACATTTTTACAGACGGTGCAGGCCTCCTGCACGTGTTTCCTCTCCGAACGTGCATAATACCGCGGCGGCCATTCTTCATTCTATTGCGCGGAGATAAGACATCCGGGGGCAGCAAGGGGTTGTTGCTACCATTCACCCTTAACACGGTCGTCGGCTCGCTTCGGCAGAAAGAGGATCGAGCTTTGCTGCTTGTTAACCGGGGCTCTCCTTATCCGGGGATCGTAGACGTTCACCTCTCTCCTTGTTTTTATTTTATTTGTTTTTTTTCTGGCAAGAATATTCTTTTCTCGGAATTGTCTCCTCGGGAGAAAGAGTTACGGGAGAAAAATTGTTCGTTATCGTTCGAGAAAGAAAGAAAGAAAGAAAGAAAGAAAGAAATTCGATTAAATTTGCTAGTTGAACGGCTAGAAATTTTGGAAATTTTTTTCGCCGCAAGGCTCGATCATCCTCGCCACCGGTGTTTAAATTATTATTTTTTTTTCCCCGTTTGTTAACGTACACACACACACACATATTTCCAATACACTTCCATCGGCTTACAACAGATTCTTTTACGCGAAACACACTGATCCGTACATTGTCACACATCGTCGTGCACACGTGTTTCCTTCGCTTCAGCTCTTGCGAAGATACGAAAATAAAGGGAAATCGATCTCTACTTTTGTCTAAAGATGTTTGAACGCCTAAAAATTCACGATTACCGTGTAAAAATTGTCGCCGAGACACTCTTTTCAAGATCAGTCGAACGATTCTCACAGAACCAACTTAACGTAACCATCTTAATAATCATGTATATATATATATATTATTTTTTTCTTTTCTTTTCTTTTCTTTTCTTATACACATGTAAATAAATAATCGTTTCGTAGATCGCAGGAAAGGTAATTCTTACGTAACTTTCCCGCGATCTCAAATAATCGAAAGACACGAAACACGGAATAAAAAAATTATAATCAATCTCTCTTATAATTCTACGTACGAACAAGTATTTTATTTACAATTTTCAACCACGTGTCTATTCTATGCATTTCCACGCGTTTCTCGAGAAAAGCATACGTGATACATACATTTTTTTTTTTCTTTTTTCTTTTTCCTTTTTTTACTTTTTCCATTTCATTTGGCACTTGGTTATTCAACGCTCGTAATTACCCTCGTAACAATAATGATTCGCCGAATAGTAGTTATAATAATAATAATAATAATAATAATATTAATAATATAATATAATAGTAATAATAATAATAATAATAATAATAATAATCGATAAATCGTGACACGAGCAGGCGCCTCTTCCGCTCTTCGAAAAATATTCGCATCGTCATCGTGTCGTTAAAAGTCGTTCTTCTTTTTATTTTTTTTTTCTATTTTTTTTTTTTTTTCCGTCTGGCCTCTAACGCGATTATTCGATTAAGGCTTAAAAAAAAAAAAAGAAAGAAAAAAAAGAAGGAATCACGATTGTTCAGAGTTCGCACGATCTAATTGAACTCGAAGAGAAAAAGAAGGACGAGAGAGAAAGAGAGCAGGGGAGAAACAGGAATGGAGATGTTCGTCCCGAGTGGAAGAGCAAAACGGAAGTCGACATTAGTTGATGCACCGCTCGTTGAAACGGATGTTCGAGATCCGACCGATAGGCTTCGGCTCCCGGCATTTTTAACCACGAAATAAATTATTTACAACGCGAGCGAATTAAACGCCACTCTTTTTTTCCTCCTCCTCCTCCTTCCCCTCTTCTTTCTCGTATTCAGGTACGCGTGAAAAGAAAAAAAAAAAAAAAAAAAAAAGAAGAAGAAGAAAAGAAGAATAATAATTTATGTACAAAACGAATCTCTAATTGCCTCCAGGCATTTAGAAAACTTCTATCGTCTTCGTTAACAACTATTTATATAACAGATATAATACGATTGCAACTTTTATAGCAGAATAACGCTTACGACTTAACGTTTTATTTCATTCGATGCGTGTCCTAGCTCCTCAGAATCGATTCACGTGGATTGTTCGGTCTCTTATTTTTTTTTTCCTTTTTCCTTTTTTTTTCTTTTCCTTTTCTTTTCTTTTCTTTTTTCTTTCTTTTTTTTTTCCTCGTTTCCTCGTAGTATCGAAAAATCGAAGATCGCCTTCGGGTTGCACTCGACAGGTGTTCGGTGTGTGACAATCGTTCGGTGAATGGAAATTACCGGTTTCTCCTATTCTCTATTTCTCTATTCCTCTTCGTCTCTCGATTCGACACACTCTTTATTTCGTGACGTCGAATCACGTTCGTTCGAAATCACGCTGCTCGTGGACTCGACGAGGAATCTCGTAACAAAAAAAAAAAAAAAGAACGAAACGAAAATACGAAATAAATAAGGAAAAATCGAGAAAACGAACAAATTGGTGTAAAAACATCGAATCTCTTCCTTGTTCGTCGTCCTTCGTTCTTCGCGCGCGCATCGTGCCACGAGGATTCGATACCTCGAGCACAGTTCGCGATCCCGGAGAGCAAAAAAAAAAAAAAAGCCGCTCCAAGCAGCGAGTGTGACGATCCATCGCGACGAGCGGAGTCGTAAATCGATCGAGATTCTTTTTAAAAACGACTCTCGGTGTCTTGTTTTTCGTTAAAAGTGTTTTCAGAAATCGAGGAAGAGCAAGTCCGACACGTTTTATTTCTTTTTCCTTTTTATCGGTCGGAGTACGCTGTTGGGAAAGACCCGCTTTCGAACTTATCGATCATCGTAGAGCCTAGATCTCGAAGGCACCGAAGAAGAAAAAGATTGGTCAGGATTCGACGAGGATTATTTCAAATAATGTTTCCTTCTCGTGGACGACCTGACGCAAGGCGCCTCGTTGCCCTTCGAATTCGCCGCGGGATCCTTCCACGATCCGATCCTGGTCGGTGTCACAGGATCGCTGAACCTAGTCTTCGCCAGGCAAGATTTCTGACTCGTATGCTCCTGCTGATGCTCCACGTCCCCTTCGAAGAATCGACACATCTCTCTGACGGGGACGGCCCTTGCCCCTCTGTTCAGATCGTGAAGAGATCTGGCGCGTTGCTTCCCCCTGGGGCTCGGCTTCGAGGACGTCCGACCGAGGTCCTCGGTGCTTCTGGCCAGTCGGCCGCCCAGCCTCGACAACGACTCGAACAACGTCAGTTTCTCCCGCACTGGCACGTAATGGTCCACCCTTTGACACCGTTCCAAAAGTCTGGCCACGTCTTCCTCGCAGGGTGGCTCGGTGAGGATGGACAGAGATGTGGACGAGGTTCTCCCCGAATTCGAGTTCCAATTCTCGATCGATTTCGAGACGTGTAACAGTTGTCGAGGCACCGGGATCCTGGAGGATAATTGGGCCAGCCGCTCCTTCCGTTCCTGGAGCGTTTCCACCGTTGGAGCGTTGGCAAATTGCTGCGTTTGCAACAACTGGCTCTTCTCTCTCACGCCTCTCCTCTCCCTTGCTCGACTCCTCCTCTCGCTCGTGTCCGCCCTCAGTATCCCGGGACTCGTAGGATTCCCATTCCTAGGAGCGTTGTTGTTCCTTTTGTCGTCCTCGTTCCGATCATCCTCCTCGAATCTGACCAACGGGGACTCAACGCTCGGTTTCACGGGTGGCAATCTGCCGATATTCTTCTCGTTCCTCGATCTAAATTGCTCCTCCTCCCTCTCCTTCCTCGCGGATGCGAAACAGCGATTATTGTCGTTGTCGTTCCCCGAATTATACAACCTATTCCTCGATCTGCCCGACCCGTACGTCTTCAGGATGTCGTTGTTGTTCTCCTCGGCTCGAGCTTTCCGCCTCCTCGCGTCCTCCTCGAGGACCCTTCTGCTCCTCGCCTCGTTCTCCCGCCTTCTCGCCTCTTTGTACCTTTGAATTCTCTGCTCCCTTGTCTCGGGCTCGGGAAGAGAGACGGCTGGATCCACGCTGCTGGAACGGCACACGCCGCTCCAAGGAAGGCTGTCGTCGCTTCCCTCGCTGCTCTCGCTGCAACCCCACGTCCTGCCCATGGGCTGCTCCTTGCTGATCATCGCCGGTATGCTTCGAAAATCGCCCAGCAGGTCCTCGTCGCTCGAATTGCTGCTCGACCAACCCCGCAACTCGCTTCTAGCTCTCCTCCTCGACTCCTCCAGGATGGTTGCCGTGCTCCTCGAACTCTTCTCCGTCGGGGAGTCGCCCGGCCAGCAGCGTAGCTCGCTCCTCGACCGCCTCCTCGACTCGGTTGGGCTGTCCGGCAGAGGGACGGGCCCTCTTGGACAAATGGTCAGGATCTCGAGAAAGTTCAAACACCTCTGGGCACGGAACGGCGTTTGCCTCACCAGCTCCGCAGCGATCGCCCTCACCCACGACCAATAGATGGGCTCCGAATCTGCCTGTGTGACAAAACGATAAGACGTCTCTCTTTTATCATTTGCTATTTCGTTCCAAACTTAATCCCTAATAACCCCGGTTGGGCTTTGCAACCGACATTCGTTACATTCGTACGAGGGATTTCAGACCGTCGTTTATCGGTGAAGCGTTGGAGAAGATCGATGGTAAGGATTATTAAACTGAATTACATTAAGGATCGTTAAGGGTCCGCCTGGATCCGTCCTTCGCAATCGGAGGCGAAGGAACTCCAGGAAAGGAGGAGGATGGTGTGGGACTCCTTGACAATGGCGGGTCATGGGAGAATGGCGCGTGGATCTCCCACGCGTCCCCTTATCGCCGCGATCGCGGATTTTGACCTTGCCTACTGACCTTATTACCGATCCGAGTTACGTCACGCCGCGTCCTTCGCGTCTTTCCTATCCTATCCATCGGCCTTCGAGCATTCTCCAATCGTGCTGGATCCGAATTTCGGAGAGGGAAAAGGACGAAGCTATAATCCAAGCTATTTCGGATCCAAATTTCAGAGAAAAAGGGATCGAATGGGAATCGAAGTCGTTACAAACGTCATCTTCTTATCGATCTTGAAGAATTTTCGTCTCGTCTGAATCCAAATTTCAGAGAAAAAGCGATCGAATGAGAATCGGGAATATTTATTATAGATAATTTCTTCTTCTCATTTACCGATCTTGAAAAATTTTCGAACCCCTCTGAATCCGAATTTCAGAGAGACAGAGAGGAAAGATCGAATGGGAAAGATCGAAGTAGTTGTAAACAACGCGAAAACGCAGCCGGATTGTATAACAAGTGCAGTATAGAAATCGAGGCAGCCGAAGGAGCGTAATTAGAAATTGCGTTTTAGCAAAACAGGAGCTCCTCGACCAAAGCGAGAAAGTGTTTGCGGGCAAGGAAACGGATCGCGCCGCGGATAAAGGCCATTTACATGCAATTACGTCGCGGATAACTCTATCTCCGCTCTATCCACGCTTTTCCTTCCTCCTCTGGCATCCTTCTTTTTTTTCTTCGAGTCACGTCCATCCCAAAAATACCCCTCTCCCCATATTTCTCGCCAATCCAACCGGCCGGAAATAAATTAAATTTTACCCAAAAAGTAGCGAGGGTGTGATCCTGCGAGTTGCTCAACGTGAACCCAAGAGCCAGTGCGTGCGGTTGACACAGGCTGGGTGCCGCCTGGCGTAGGTTCAACGCCCTCAATGGAAGCCTCATCGGAGTACCCTCGACCCAAAGCCATCCCATTCTGATGGAAACGATCCGCCTCTCGCCTAGATCCTCCACGTATAGCTCGCCTGGAACCAGATACAAAGAAATTAGTCTCTCCGAATGAGAATCCAAACCCATTTCGCCCTACATCGATCCGTAACGTACGAGCTACTACTACTCCTTTTGCTCCCTTAACGTTAATTAATCACGCGTAGAATCGAACACACGGTCGATCGTGAATAATTTCGACTTCCGCGCGCAGTGCTCGCGAGAAAGATCGTCAACTGCAACGCGTCGACGAATTCGAGTCGACGGTGTTTATTGAAAGAAAAATTCACGATAAAAGGGAAACATCGATGCTACGTTTCCAGGGAAAGATACTCGATCGCTCGTACGATACCTTATGCAGACCGATTCGCTTTAACCGATCGAAATGCTCGATGATGATAATAATAATAATAATAATAATAACAATAATAACAAACTTTGGAGTTTCTCCTGCGAAACTACGGGCGTACGAAACGGCCCAAGTTTAGGTAATCGAAAGATTGACGTCACTCGATCGAACGGCGTAGGAGCGAGGATGCATCACTCCCTTCGTACCGAGCAATTACCGAGTTGGAAACAGCGCCTAAACACCCACACCATACTCGCTCGCCCGACGATCGCGACTATTTCAGCCATGGGATAGAAATAGATCCACCGACTAATCCTGTCGTCCACGTTTTCCAACTTTACGATTCCCTTCGAAGAGAAACCCTTCGAATCGTGGCGGTGGCCACAGATCGCTATCACAGAGGAGCGATGGAATCGAGCTTATCACGCGAGGAATCCGGTTTTTAGGATTATCGACACGTTAACGCGCCTCTGACGCAACGTTATCTCGGGGAAGAGGAGGCGTCGATTGGAACGAGTCACCGTTCCGAGTACGTCCATTAACTTTTTCCATTCCACCGAGGAATTCCTTATCGCGCGCGAAGGACGGAAGAACACGCACGGATCGGCTAGATTCCTCGCATTTTTTCCACCCAGATAAGGAAGAAGAGATCGGCGAAGGGAAAGGTACGCGCAAGTCCTTCACCCGCATTTCAACGCTCCGTCTCTCTCTCTCTCTCTCTCTCTGCGCGGATCGACTCGGCTCGACCTACGCTCAACGACCTACGACACACGCCCCCACCTGGTTTCCACGGAAACCAGCTGATAGCTCGCCGAATAGCTCGCGATCGTTCCGATCGATTGCCCCTAAATGCTAAAGATAGATAGAGGATAGGGAACACCCATCTTCGTGACGACACGTCTTTCTTTTTCCGCTTCTCTTCCGACCTTACACCTTGTTTCGATAAATTAGGACCTAGAAAGGGGGTGCGCAAAGGTTATAGCTATTCTCGAAGCATATTCTCGTGTTGCGCCATCGAGGTATTAGAAAAGAATTGGACGAAAGTTTGTTTAGCAAGATTAAAACGAGGATCGAAACGATGTTGGTCGTCGAGAAAGTGCGGCGATTAAAAATAGGAACGCGGATTCAACGCGGCCGTTCTTTCTTCTCCTCCCCTCGGAAATCGGCCTAAATTACTTCGGTGGAGCAAATTGCCAGTAACGTGTCGATCGACTGACGTGACACGCGCCAACACGCACTTTTTCACCCGTCTCCTGGTCGTCGTGAAAGTGTCGCCGCGATCGGTGGCCGCGATCGAGGCGGCTATGAAAACTGGCGGCGCTCGCCGTTTGAAAATGGAAAACGAAAGCGGCCAGGCAAGATTGGCGTTTCTGGAACGAATTTTCTAATCTTTCGCCGCTTCCCGATCGGGAACCGAAACATTTTTGCATCGCGCGGTGAATCACACGCCGCCTCTCAAGGTCGCCGCACAACCAATTACGAACTCCGTGAGATTTTCCACCAACCGAGTTACGAAACGTGTGAATCATCCGCGCAGCTTTCAATTCAATTTTTTCCCTTTTCTTTTTTTTTTAGGCGCCGGCCTCTTTGTTGCGTCGTCCGTGCAAATACACACGTAGGAGATAAAAAGCTCCAAGTTTCTCTGCCGATAGAGGTTCGGTAAGAGAGGTGACTAAACATCTGTTTGGGGAGGGAAGATCGGAAAATCGTATTTTCCGGTCGAATAGGCGCGTTTACTTAGATGTTTTCCAAACCGTATAAGCTACCATTGGAACGTAAAACGTGTTTCGAGAATCGAAGAATCTCGAGGAAGAGCCATCGTTCTCTCTCTCTTTCTCTCTCACGGCCCATTAAGCTCGTGTACGCGCGAGTATTTCGTATGAACGCCCCATAAATAAGGCAATCCAGACCCGCATCCTCGAAAGTTTCCTCCACGAGAGAGAACGAATCGAGCGTGCGACCTTATTTCTGGATTAATCTCGACGCAACGCAACGAATCTTAACGCGTGAACGTCGCGATCGGTGAATGAAACACCCTTTTCCCATTCACGAATTTTTATTACGGAATCCGGGATGAATATTTATGAAACGCGCGCACGATCCTCCGCTTAGGAAGGGGGCTTAAAAACGTGCCTCCATGTTTTATCTGTCCCTCCCCGTGCGGCTGGCCCACACTGCGGTGGCACGTTTCGCTCAGGAAACCGTTTATTTCCTCAGATCCTAGGATAACGCACGAGTGTCACGTATACCGGGTGACCGTTTCGTAAAATCGATACCGTTAACTCGCAACCTCTGTCGAGGTTGCAACCGTAGAAGCAAAACGTTTCGAGCTCGATTTCATTTCCGTAACTTGAGAGAACGATGTATGCCGCTCTTAAGCGGCGAAAATCCATCCTCCAGCTCGTCCTCCTTCCATTCCATCCACGAAAAGATTTCAACATAATAACTCTTTCTCTCTCTCTCTCTGTCTCTTCGAAGATAGTAGTAAGAGAGTTTTCGTGAAAGGAAAAGAGGAAAAAGTGAGAATCCGCTGGATAAGAGAGAGAGAGAGAGAGAGAGAGAATACTTTTCTCGAGGAAGTATCGTCCTCGTTTTCCTCGTTGCCTCGGTCAACATTGAAAATCCTGTTTAACAGTCCACCATTTTTCACCTCGTTCCTTCACGCTCATCTGCCTCCTGTCAGTCCCGGAACGATCATCCTCTGCTCGAGCAGGGCCCCCAGGCTGGAACGTTCTTTTTTTTCTTCCCTTCTTTTTTTTTTTTTTTTTTTTACCGCCGCCTACCATGAATTATTTATCCGACCGATGCATCATCGCATCCGTAGAAACACCTACTCCTACTACAACTGCTTCTCTTCCTTCCTCTCTCTCCTTTTCCTCCCCCTCTCTTCCTCCTTAGAATCGAGAAAAAAAGAAAACGATTTCTCCTAAATAATAATAATAATAATGATGATGACGATGATGACGAGGATGAAAGAAAAGAGTAGCGTATCTACGACGAGCCGCATACGTCCGTTTCTTCGATTTCTTTCGGTGGTTTGAGCGCAAACCGGTAGTTCACGAGGAGAAGGAAGTGTTGTCTAGGAGGTGAAACGCGACGTGAAAGTGACGAAGCCGTTGGTATAATGTTGGGACGGAACGGGCCGTGGACCAGGACGGGCTGTCACGAGAGCGGAAGCCTACGCCAGGAACAAGGAAGCGGGAAGGAAGGGAAGGAATATGCATCGACACAGTCGTCATGCGAGCCGTGCTCGATAACGATACGGTGGTTGTTGCAAACAAACGGTCCCCCCGTTATTGCGCGCTGTTACTTTCCGATGCGCGGAAACAACCGTGACAGTAATAATCCAGCTGGTGTTCGAGAGCCGACCGCGACCACACCGCTTCCTTCCACGTATACCTTCCCTTACGTATACGAAATCCTCCGTATACGATGATAAATACGGTCGATCGAATCGGGCCGGTATTTATCTTCATTCCTCTCGAACGATTACGGCCTCCCTCCTCCTCCGTCGTTGTGCACGAACCGCTATTAATAAAACTTTCATAACAGTCACACACAAGTCTCCCCGCTAGAAACGCGCTGCTCGTAATTACGGCTCGTCCGAACCATCGAGTTCCAACCACCAACAGTTCCGCCTGTTGCCGCGCACCGCTAATGAGAACCGTTCATTAACGATTAATGTTCGACGCGAGTGAAAATGACATTGGCTTTATCAAAATTCTAAAAATTCCTTCTCTGAAAATCTCACCAATTACCTCTGCTTTATAGTTTCCTGAATTGTCTGTTAATAATTGGTATATTCAATACCGAATGAAAAACGGCGTTTAACTTTATCAAAATTCCACGGAAAATTAGAAAAGCCTCTTTTAAAATTGCTTCCCCTTTATAGTTTCCTGTTTATGAGACTAACGCGATTCCTCGCGAAACGAGCGAAAATGAACAGTTTTAAGTGCAAGCTTTATCAAAATTCCGGGGGAAAACTCTCTCTCTCTCTCT